ATTCAAAAATTTCATAATTTTCGATGTCTCTCAAAACGAAGAAAATCGCATTTCCATGAGTTGATTTTTGTCAAACAAAATTTTGTCACATAAATTGAGGATGTAGTTGTCACATAAATTGAAAATGTAGAGGCTGAAAAACATATTGACGATTTATTAGACATGAAAGCACAAGTAATAGCAAAGTCGTTTTTGACCATAAAAAAACGTTACATATAAATAAGCCTTTTTTGGACCTTGAAAAGCTTTGCCAGGAGAAAATGATTTGAAAGAAACAAGGCCAAAATAGCCAATGTAAAATCATATGAAACTTGCCCTTAACATTTCTTTGTATCTCGTTTCGAGGTCGAGTGTCACGCAACTGCGCCCATACAAAATGTGGCTGATTTTTGCACATTTTCTTACTTTCCACGCAGTTACTTTTTTCTGACGCAAATAATATCTCCGATTCTCAAAAGATACACATTTAAGCAATACACAACCATGAAAATAAATTCAAATTTCAAAAAATTGAGTTCGGGTTTTTGGGGTTGAAGTTAACAATTTTGGCTGTTTTTACAAAGGATTCATCTAGTGATGATGTACGCTTTACAGTATTTGACCTCTAGCTACGTCAATCGCGCGTGTATCCAATTAATACCTCTGAATTTGAACTCTCCAATAAATTTGGCGTAATTTGATGTATAATACTTGTATGTTCGTTAAGATTTCGGTTCGGGTTTTGGCGTACGAAGTTTGGGTACTTGTCGTATATTGTGTCTTGACACTCAGTACGGTCACAGTGAGGGCGCAAAACGAGAGTGAAAATGGAAAGCAGAGCACATTTAAGAGTGGTTTTTGTATGGAATTATAAACTAMGGCACTTTCTGATAAATTCGAAATCGAACATATTTGATTTTTTTAATTTTATTTAGTTTTTGYTGCCTAATATATAACTTGTCTAGGACTGTGGAAGAACTGACACTTCCTTCGATAACAAACGCAAAATCACCATTTTTATTGAATATGCGGTTTTTCAATTTGTCTCCTAGTACTSATTCTAAGTCCTTATTTTAAAGATACGATAAACGGACTTCCCGCGTTCTTGTTTTAGGTCTCAACTACAGCGAGTCCTTCATCAAATACGAGTACTGGCCGGGTCATMTTTTTATCCAGAATACAACCTTCGCTTAATCTCACGATAATATAAACCATAACCCAAAGTCCTTTCTGTCCATAAGAGAAGCCGTTGATGGTATCTTATAAGGWTCTAAATGCGGAAAAACTCGCTTTAGTTTTATCCCCTTCATAACAACAATACCTCCACTCATCSCACGATGTAGCCCACAAACTGGATTTT